AGTGACATACACATACACTGACATACACTGACACATACAGTGACACACAGACACGTACACTGGCATACATATACACACAGAAACACTGATGCACAGACACATACACTGTCGTACAGATACACTGACATACAGATACATGCACTGATGCACGGACACATGCAGATACACACACACACACACACACTGACACATACTGTGACACACACACTGACACACATACGGGGACACACACTGACATACACTGACACATGCAGTGACACACACACTGACACATACAGTGACATACACTGACACACGGACACATACAGTGACATACACTGACACATACAGTGACTCACACACTGACACACATACATACACTGACACATACAGTCAGATACACACACAAACACTACACACACATACAGATACACAAATCCTACCTTTTGGCTGACTGGGTCTGGTGGGAGTTGGTGTCCTGCTGCTCTCCCGGTCCACTCCGCCTGCCCCGTCCCCTACACTCCTGCGCAGCGTACTCTGTGTGCGAGCTGGGAGGTAGTTGTTTTACTTCCTCCCAGCTCTGACTGCAACACAGGGGTCTGGTCGCGCTATTTATCCGCCGCAGCCCTGAAGGCACATGTGTATTGGGTGGCCCAAAGTGCATAGGCCACCTGATACACTCAGGCAGCTGTTCCCAGCCTGTGCGGCGGCCGGCACCGTCGCCATTACCCAATTTTGTTCGCATACCCCCAGGGGCACTGAATTCTACCCCTTGGGGTACGCATACCACAGGTTGGAAACTGCTGGTCTAGATGAAAATATTGTTCCTTGGTAGAACATTGTCTTAAAAATAGAGTACAGAGAGTTGTCATTAATGGTACATGTTCAAGCTGGACAGAGTGGTGTCCCTCGGGGTTCTGTTTTGAGACCCCTTTTATTTAACATTTATAAATGATTGATTTATAAATGATCTTGAAAAAAGCATTGAAAGTCATGTTTCAGGGTTTGCAGATGACACAAAACTCTGTAAAGTAAGATATTACTTTGCTCCAGAGGGATTTAGATAGACTGGGGGACTGGGTACTCAAATGGCAGATGAAATTTAATGTAAAAAAATGCAACGCTATGCACATTGGCGTCAAGAATGCACAAGCAACTTATACCCTTAATGGAAGCGAATCAGAAATAACTACACATGAGAAGGACTTGGGAACTGTTATAGACAACAAATTATGCAACAATGTGCAATGTCAATCAGCAGTGGCTAAGGCCAGTAAGGTTTTGTCATGCATGAAAAAGGGCATTAATTCTCGGGATGAGAATATCATTTTGCCTCATTATAAATCGCTGGTAAGACCACATCTTGAATATACTGTGCAATTTTGGGCACCTGTTCTAAAGAAGGATATTATGGCACTATGTAACTGTGTAATTTGCACTGTGTGCAATTTAAAATTAAAATCCATTTCCCCCCACAGTGATAACATCACAAGATATGAATAAAAGAACTACATCTGGTAGAAAGAGGTCTGTTTTTCCTTACAATCAATGGGTCTTGGCTCCAGACTTTAGGTTACATTGATTTCATGCCATAAGCCCCTAACATCTCTACGAGGAGCATTAGATTGCACCTTCAATAAACCTTGTCTCCTCGATTACTTTCAGAGAATATAGAGGTGAGTAGAGCCTCAGTGCTGGATGTGGAAAAAGGTGACTTATAGTAAAACTTTAATTTGATTAATTTTTATTGCTCACATGGGGAGGAAGGGCCCTGTATATAACTAGGGACAGGAGCAATATAGCACTAGATATACCCATTTGTATTCCTAACGCTGTAGTGTTGGATGTTCAAATTGACCTTGTTTTGAGGTAAATTATTAGTGTTGCTTTTTACTCTTTGTTAGACTATCAATGAGTAAACTAATTACATGCAAACATTACTGAACACTGGGGAGGGTCAAACTAGGTGGCTGACTGTAGTGCAAAGCTTAAGTGTTTTTTTTTCTTATCCTAGCCTTGCCAAATACAAAGAATTTTAACGATGTTGGAGAAAGCTGCCAAAACTGAAGTCCACTCTGGAAACCAAGAAAGCTTGGGCTGGCATAGAACATTGTCCCAGTATCATTTACATTGGAAAATTATACACAGGTATGTGGGTGGAAGAGGACAATGTACACACTGTATTTTGCAATAAATAACCAATAAACCATGTATTAGGTTATTTTATTTTGGCTTTCTACTCTGTGCTAGACTCACAACTCCAACAA